AAGTGATAAATAAAATAATTGCTTGACATAGACTACAACATAAACTGTTGCGATCATAGTCTGCATGAGTTAATATTAAACTCAACTGTGTGGTTTACATTCATTCTTGCATGACTCTTTAGCATTTAGCTTTACCTATGTTTCTGCCCACTTGTACCCTGTACAACCTTGTGTTGTTGCTTTATTCATTTCTTACCTTGGGGTGGTTCTTCTGAATGTGCTTCTTTTTTGGTTTTGGATTTCTTATTTTTAGTGTTAATTTCAGGCTTTGATTCATTAAGTTCCAATTTCTTCTTTGATGTCTAGCATCCATCCATGTCTGAGGAATGATAAAATACTTTATTTCTGGAACACAAACTATTAAATATCACCTATTATTTTTTTTAAACCTATCTGCCATTATCTATTATCCCTACACAGTTTAGAAGACAGTCAAGTAATACAAAAAAAAAAAAAAAAATACCATTAGGTTATCTTCTTAGATTTCATAAATAACAATAAAATAATAAATAACTTTGTTGCAAAGAATACAGAATATTTTTTTTCTACCATTAATAACCATCAAACCACTTAAGAATGCATGATTATTAATTCAAATCTTTACTTATATTATCTATTATTGTTTATTCATATGTCACAATCCAAATCTTAGCCAGTCTACAAACAAAATATGTATTAAGTTGATGATCATCTAGACCTCCAATATTTTACATACTCACATGCTGTGTTTGTTATAGTGTTTACAGTGAACATGCCAAGTCAGCCTATTTTTTTATTATGAATTACTATAACATATTGACGAGATCTTTTCCATAAATCATGTAATTTGCATTGTATCATCAACTCTGTATGAATACTTTCATACTGCTTCACTTCTGAGCCTAAGCATTATTGTCTCGTGTTACACTTTCAGGTCACCTATCTATTTTAGTTTCCTAGCACTGTTTATTAAATTTTCCTGCCTTTTTAGTCCCTAAACCTCATGTATTGTATACCATTTTGCTTCTCTATCACACTTTGTATAAAGGGATGACATAGTTAGTATTTCTGAAGTGTGTAGGCTGTAAAACATGACGGTTAATTATAGTAATAATGCTGAGAAAAACAATGGTAATTGTAAAAAAAAAAAAAAATTAAAGCTTAAATTAAAGTGAAGTGGTATATAATGACATGAGTGGTTATGCAGAACTCTGTATGGGAAATACCAGAGACAATCCATTAACAAAAGAAGTATGCCATAAACCCTGAAACATTAACACGGATTATGAAAATAAATTACTACAATCAAACAAAGCAACATACATGACACAGCCTTTAATGATTGGAGATTCAACTTCACCCCCTGTGAAACTTCCACATTAAAAATTCTGGCAAACAAGTGGCAGACTCTCGGTGACTTAATGAGAACTGGTTTTAGTCAAACTTCCTAAAAACAACTAGGTAGCTTAAGTCTGATTAGTTCTTATATATGTAAAATACAAACATTCCAACAAAGCTTGGATCTACTTGGATATAAAAAAGATACATTTGACATGAGTTAAAGTGCAGAGAATAGATGTTAGCAGGATTTTTTTTTTCCTAAATTAGGCAAAAGTAATAAATGGAATACCTGTACTGATTTCAATTTAATGTATGTATTAATAACCTTGCAATGGGCATTGGAAGTAAAATGGCAGTGTTCTTAATCAATGGAAATCTAGGCAAGGTAATGTAGTCTGAACAGGATATTATTTCACTACAGAGGGATTTATATAAATTAGGGCAATGGTCAAGCAAGGAGCAGGTGAGATTCAGTATAGAAAAAAAATGATGTATATAACATGGGGCAATGGGTCACGTTAGGGATATTTTTTTAAATGAAGACTTATTATTATAGAAAACAGTCTAGGCAAAGTGTAAGGGTAACCAATATTTTACCTTTTTATAAATCAATGGTAAACCCCACTTAGAATGTGTTGGTAAAGAAGAATAGTGTGGTATTAAGGAGGGGATATAATAACTATACAAATATTTATAGGGACAGTAGGTAAAGGGAGCAAGGTGGTTAGTTTCGGGCTTTATATTCCTTTATGCTATTTGCCTCTTCTTCACACCAAGAAGCACCACAGCAGGACTTGTCCCTAAGGAGTACTTCCATAGCAAGTAGGTTATAAGCAGGATCACTCTGAACAGTGAATATATTATAACTATAGTCAACTCATATCTAGCAGAATGCCCCAACCTCTTTAAAACTCTTCTTATGGGTAGCCATAAAAGCAACAGAGGTTACGTAAAGGCCTTATCAAAAAGAGCCCATCATCTCTGGATAGAAGGCTAGCCCAAACCTCTACACGTCACACAATTTTTCCATCTAAGTCGTGAGGGAATGACGGTGTGACCTGTTCATTAGCATGACTGTTCAAATAAGAATAGGTAATCAATTGATACTTTAAATAAATTCGATTTGGTCTATATAAGTTGAAAACAGCTCTTTACATTTTGTTTGTAATGTTTGTTTCATCAGATTAAATGAGTATCTTTAAAAGGTATTGGTTTTTTTTTTCTGCAAAGTAGGCTAGTCAGTGTTACAAGAGTTACTATATATAAATATAATAAAATGAGAAGTCTGGTTGCCAAGTTGAAATCAAGTAGGATATTTGTTTTTCCATTTTACAGCACTTTTAGTAATCACAGAAATTAGGGGTTTTATTACCTTTGGCGCAAAAGCTGAAACCCAGACATCTGAAAGTTTAAACTTGTTGGACTTGAGGTTTTGTTTCAACCTCTGTAACCTTATAAAACTTTAATGAAGAGTAACAGTGGCACTGCCAATATTTTACTACACGTCCTATGATGACCATGCATCCAAAAATAGGATAAAAATAAGTTATATGTGTGATATATGTGTAAGTGTGTGTGTGTTCCTTTGAGGTAGTAGCAGTAGTAGTTAGGGTGAAAGCACTGCATTTCTTCCTTCTGGTACGTACTTAAAGGCAGCCACTTCAGTGATTAAGAAAATAAACAAATAAACTTGTGCAACAGACACATCACTGACCATGTGCATCTGCCTCACCACACCAGTGTGCATTGTTATGTATTACAGAGAAGCTTTCTCACTAATTGCAAATGATCTGTTACTAATAATATGGTAGTACATGGTACCTAAATGCAAAATAATACACTTACACGGTTATTCACTAGATTCTAATCTGTAGCAAATTGAAATCTGAATGACAATTTTAGGTATACATTGATGCTTTGGGGAAATTCAGCTATAGTCGGTGCTTAGATATTTCAGCCTTCATTTTGTCATTCAAATTTCAATTTGCTACAATTTAAATTGTATTGAATATTAATGCTAATTACAAACAATACAGACAAATTAGGCAAAATAAAATGGGGTAATTTTAATAATTGGACTTACCCATAAGACAGAAAAGGATGTGCATTAAAGAAAATTTAGAAAGAGAATTTTAACCAAGTAGTAAACATGTAGTTAACGCTGATAAAAGAAAAATGATTGCCACAATTTTTATTTTAAAAAAGAATGAAAACTCCATTTAATATACATCATACGAGTACATGGGAGTATATAGTAAACACTGACACACAATCTAGTTTTCGTTATTTAATTGTGCTAATGTAGATGACTTATTTCTCCTCTTATTTCCCACTACTTAGATGAAAACAAAAACTAATTAGTCAAATGTATATTTTCTAATCTGTTCTACCTACCTTTCTAATGTGGTGGTCATACAAAAAAAACATTGTATTTAATGAAGTAAACAATATTCCTAAAATAGTAATAAGAATCTATGGGGAAAAAAATCATCAAATTTGAAAAAATCATAAAAATGTACTACATGTGAAAAAAATAAGTGTGTCTTAAAAATATATCGGAAAATACATAATATTTGAGAAATGGTGTATAAAAAGGCACAGAGATCATAATTTACATGTAATAGACTGAAAAAAATCTGTATGTATATATGTATATTTATTTAGGCACAATGTGTATGTAACTACAGTTATAGATAACTGTTTGAAATTGTTGGTTTTTAAAAATCGTTTTATATCATAATAAATAAGTGCTCTTCTACCTCATCGCTCATCATCTTTTTCTCCAGGGGACAGCTATATATTAATCAATAATATAGTTCACATATGTTCAGCCAGGGATATTTATTACATTTATAGCTTAATATTATCTAAAAATATATTTTCATATTATTATAACTACTAGTGCTAAATGCAACAAATTTTGTAACTAGTCATATAATTATTATAATATTTAGAATGGTTAGTTTGTATCAACATCTCTATATTTTTTTTTTACCCGTTTATGCCTTTCATAACATACACTTTACCATTCCTTACATAACATACATTTTATTTTACAATTTAGTTTAGTTTACATCTAACTAAATATAGCCCCTCGCTTTAGCTTCTCACCTTATTGCTGGCCATGATTGTTTTGTTGTGGATCCTTTGGCACCTAATACAGAGCTGTCTTACATTAAGGGTTACACAGTAACAAAGATTACGGAGTCTTGCCTCCTTAGTGGTGAATGCACAAATATGCTAATTACAGATTATCCTTGGTAACTAATCTTCCTGTTACCATCTGTCACTGGAATAGGGATTGAAATACACTTTCAAAATCCCAAACAAAGTGGCCAAAGAGAGAGCAAAAATTCCATCAGAATTTTTGTGACCCCTTGAATAACCATTGAGTCTCCACGACACACATATGAATGAACACACAAACACTCCTTGACACACAGATACATATTTAGACACTCATTCCCAGATACACATTATTATTATTGCCATTTATATAGCGCCAACAGATTCTGCAGCGCTTTACTATATTATGAGAGGGAGGATTGAACTATAAATAGGAAAATTACAAGAAAACTTACAGGAACATAACACAAATATGCACTTGCCCTACACACATACACATTGTCCCACTCAAACACAGATTCACACTTCCACACAGAAGCAAACTGTCAAACACACACACACACTGACACACATAGTTACACACTGACAAACACACACACAGACACAGAAGTATTTAAATCCAGTTTATTTAAACCAACCTTCTAAACCTTTTTTTGCTACTTGGAATCGGGCAGAGCTGCAGGCTGGAGGCTATGGGTTGTTCCTTCCCTCCTGCATGTGTCTCACACTGGGTGTAAATAACTTGACAAGCACATAGTCGCCTTTTCGGCATATCCAGCATAACCTTAATACCCATTCCCATTAAAGTGCAGACTACAATTAACGTTGGAAAATATTTGTCCACAGGTTTATTAAAAACACATTAAAATAAACATAAGGTCATTGCTATATACTGTCACCTTCCTACACACTGTTCCACCCCTTCCAGCCCACAGGTAAGAGGCAGGGAGGGTGGTTAAGCCCAATTTAATTTAAACAACTCACTCCCTAGCACATATCCAACACTACATGCACTACCACACATACACTACTACATGCACATACACTACACATACACTGCATCCACTAGACACATTGCATCCACCACACAAACACAGACACTGCATCCACTATACACATACACATAATGAATAAAATACACTCTGCATACAATACAAATGACATCCACGACATGGAAGAAAATACATGAAAGGAAGGGGAACAGAAACATGGATGGTAGGGGGGGTGGCAAAAAAGACAGATTCTTCGATCCATGGTGTAGATGCGAGCTGAACAGACAGTGCAGCTACATCTAAGGTGTGACTTTTTACTTACCTGGATTAATGTAGCATGTGTGTATATATATATATATATATATATATATATATATACACATACATACATATACATATATATATATATATATATATATATATATATACACACACACACCCACGTTTTATAACCTCCCCCCTACTTTTGTCCCTGGCCTACCATGTGCCCCCCCCCTAAAAATTAATCAGAGAGACGCCACTGCCAGTATATAACAATGTAGCCACTTTTTAGGCAGAACACTTAATCCACTAAATATCCATGTATCAACATGTTCATAGAAACCAGACATCATAGCAAAAAAATCAATCCAAACCAAAAAGAAAAGAATGAGAAATTCCAAGGAAAAAAAAAAAATCAAGGAAAGGAAAATATGCTCTAGGTATTTATAGGGATGGGGATGGGCATGGGCTAAAACATTTGTTTCGGTTCAGAAATTCAAGCAAGTAAAAAAAATTGGCAATTTGGACCAATAGCATTCTGTTCAGCACTTCGGAACTGCCAAACGTCATCACTTCAGAACTTCAGTTCTTCGGCACTTAAGATATTAGTAAGTGTCCGAATGGCATGAAATTTGGACAAATGTACGAAAATGAACGAAACGAATTGCACATGTCTATTGTTCATTTCATTGGACAGAGAATAGTGAAACCGGATTGGGCAAGCATTGGAAGTGCTTCAAACTGTTTTGTTTTTTTTGCCTTCTTTTGGATCAACAGCAAAAAACAAATGTGAGGAAGGCTGAACTTGATGGACACATGTCTCTTTTCAGCCTATGTAACTATGTAACAAACTCCCAAAACAAGAATTTTTTATCATTTGAAGCACAAGGAATACAAATTATAGAAATAAATGTAAACAAATGATCACTGAAAATGTATCCCTGTTCAGGGTATAACAATCCTCATTCCCTTTATGTCTCATGTCCCCACAATAATACTCTCTTAAAAAAGCTGAGAGTGTGTATTTTTTGTTCAGATGTACTGCTTCCAATGTCCTGATCCAAAACAACTCTTGTTGCAGCAGTTTTTTTCCTGTCTCCACCCCTTCTAAAAGGGGTTTTGTGGTCTATGGCCATCGGTTTCAATGTAGGTAAGGCATGTTCCAGTTCCAAAAATCGCTTGGCCAACAGTAAATTTGCTCTGTTTTCCCTTTAGGCACCTCTTATGCTCGATCTGTGATTCCTAAATTGCTCCCTTAATAGTACATATGGTCTCATACGGCTACTGTTCTATCCTATTCTTGCAAGAGTAAACTCTAGTCTGAGCTGCAGGCTAGAGTTCACTCTCACCACTAGAACCACCAGGGAAGAAAGCAATGTATCCCCCGCCCTAAGCACAGGTAAGAAGGGAGGTGGAAAATTAACTATATTTATTTAGTAATTATTTAATAATTTAAAAAAAAATTATCTTGAATCTGCCCCCCTATCCTCTCACACAAACTATAACTCCCTACACACTGCACCACACAAAAATACACAGCCCCCCTTACACACACTGCTCCCCATAAACACACTTTCCTTTTATTCACACTGCCCCTCTTACACACACTGCCCCTCCTTACACACATAGCTCCAATACACACACTGTCCTCCATATACACACAGCGCCCCTGACACAAAAACACACTGTGCCACTCACATACTCACACACACAAACACACTGCTCCCAATATACACATTGCTACCCCATACATATACTGCACCCCTCTCACACACGCACTACCCATCTGTAACAGCACCCCGAGTAGGTGAAGGGGTTAACGCCGCCAAAGCTGTTCTTTTTCCTGAATGCGAAGTCAGCTACCGAACACTCCTAAGCGCCGAACAGGAATCATACATCCGAATTATCTCCCCAAGTACAAGACGAGGCTCTGTGTTGAGGATCAAGCAGGATCTGTTTAATGGGGGCTACATGTCAGCCTTTTATGCAGGTCTTCCAGTAAGGTACACTCCCATAGGGACCTTGTGGAAGACAGACAGTTTTTACAGTAACCAATCATGTACAAGTACAGAATGCAGAACACTCCCACACAAACAGTACAACTCCTCCTCTCCACCCTGGAGATAATTGGGTTAAGTGCTTGAAGTAACTCAATTACCTCCAGACATAGAGAATATCCCCATTTTAGAGTAATGGTAAAAACACATAATTCCCAATATACCGAATGGAACCCCTATTCAACGTATCCCCAGATCGCTTAGATCTGAGCGCTCAATATAAACGAACAGCGCTCAGATCCCATACATGTAGTTCAATCGCCATGGAGTTAAAGTCTTGTACACTGTGTGTTCGATGAAACAAATGAGCTCTATGGGTCTACTATCTGGTATAGTTCCGTTCGTGGATTGTCCGTTTACGAATGGCACGGCGTTCGTACGAATTTGGAACAAAGCGATGGATAGTCGGTGAGTTCAGCGGTGTTTGTGGGAAGCAGTGACCGATATCAGTTCCATGTGTTTGTCGACGAACACCGCTGGGCGTTCGACTGTCCAAGATGGCCGCTGCCACAGGTTCGTTCATACGAACAACGACCACCCAGGCGACCGTTCGGGAGTTGGAAGTGTCTGCGGTTAACCACAATGTTAATGAGGGCAGAAAGGTTAACGAGCAGCACACTTCCCTTCTGGGTGGCCTGCCATTCGGTAGTTTGTTAGTCTTTTGATGAATGCAAGCAGGAAACATACGAACAACCGGCAACCGCTGAACAAACAGACGAAATAGGGTTTAAATAGTAATCCAGAGGCAGGAAGATCTGCCACACCCTCCATATGCTGTGACCCTCACACACACTGCACCCCTCACACACATACACAGTACAGCCCCTATCCCGGCAGATCCCGGGTAAGTTATCAAAGTTTTTTTAAACGGTTTGACTACTTACTCTGGGAGGGCGCCACAGCAACTCCTGGCACCAAAACCACTACAGAGAGCTGTATTGGTTATTGTGCCTGGATTATTTCTTAAAATGATCTGCCAGTGCCCCTCCCGAGATTAGCTTCTGGATCTGCACTGCTGCAGTATTCATGTATTGTCATATGTTACCCTGTGAAATGTTTATACATGCTTCATGTCAAACTATACACTGCAAAAAAAAAATTATTTTCTAAAAAGCGGACATTGCTGGAGTAAATTAATTAAGCACTTTAAGAAAGACATTATATGTTGAAACACGTCAGTGCAACTTACTGTTGTCTACTAGACATCTTTTTAAAGCTTTTAACTTTTTGCTCAAATAAATCTTTTTTGGTTACTTTCTATTACTCTTACTTCTCCTTTGTTTTTATGACAAATAAAGCGTGAGAGGACCAGTATCCAGTGGAAAAACCCACCTGCCTGATGTCAGCAATATCTATACTAAAAGGTGCAGAAAGTCTGAGTCTATTATTAAGTGGCTTAGCAACATGTGAGTGGGGACATTTTATGTTTATTCATTGTATAAAGATTTCACTAATGTTTGCTACTCTTTTGTATTTCATATCAAACCTATGGTAAAATATTGCATGTGTATGTGTTTTTTATAAACATATATCTATTGAATGTGCTCTTACCACAATTTTTTACATGGCATGTCACAAGGCAACGAGCTCATGACACGGCTTCAGTTTGAACGCATGCTAGTCTGGGCATCCTCTGGGCAACTCATGGTAAGAAGGGGGTGTTTTTATTAAAGGGACACTATAGTCACCAGAACAACTACAGCTCACTGAATTTGTTGTGGTGAGTAGAATCATTACCTTCGGGCTTTTTGCTGTAAACACTGTCTTTTCAGAGAAAATGCACTGTTTACATTACAGCCTAGTGATAACTTAACTGGCCAATCCTAAGATGTCTTTTAGACATTCTTCCTGGGTCATTGCTGCCTAAAATGCATCGAAACATTCAGTGTCTCCGCCCTCTGCATGCAGACACTGAACTTTCTCCATAGAGATTCATTGATTCAATTCATCTCAATGAAGAGATGCTGATTGGCCAGGGCTGTGTTTGAATTGTGTTGGCTCTGCCCCAATCTGCCTCTTTGTCCAATGGGGAAGCATTGTGATTGGATCAGGCTACCACTTCTGATGATGTCAGTAGGCAGTGGGCAGGTCAAAAGGAAACAGGGACAAAGCAAGCAGCTCCAGGCTTGAATACAAGTAAGATTTTACTATATTTAGGGAGGCATGAGGGGACCAGGGGGGCTAGATGGTGATTTTAACCCTATAGGATCAGAAATACATGTTTGTGTTCCTGACCCTATAGTGCTCCTTTAAGGTACAAATTGTTTGTATGTTAATAAACAAGATCTGTTGTGATAAAAGTTTGAGTGGTAAACTGAAACGCAGAATTGTTTTCATTTTTAAAGTTAATAAAAGTAATATTTTAAAGAAAATTCAAAGAAGTCCTGAAAGTGCTAACTGCATATTAGTTACTGTATTTCTGCAGGCAAGCACACAATAGGGGGCATGCAATAGGTTGGTTGAGTGCGTGATTTTTCCTTTTTCTTGAGAAAAGCAAGTTGTGACAAAAAGAGACTTTAATGTGTCACATAGAAAAACTAGTTACGGCGCACTCAGACTTGTAAATTAATAACTAAGAAGGCTAACGCCTATCTAAGAATAAATATGGGGATTTAGTTCCACCATATGGCCATATGATGTTAAGCCCACTACTACTTCAAAGTACCCCAATATCAGTGGGTCCTACGCTAATAACAAAAATGTGGGAGATAAATTAAATAGTATTAGTGCTAAACATAAGCTACAGTGTATTGAATTAATTTCTTTGTAAGAGCAAAGTGAGTATACAATAGTGATAAAAGCAATTAAAAACAGTGTAACAACTAAACAATTAAAGTGTTGGTGCTTGAATGAGTATACTCACATTTGCAGATAATATCTGTGCTGCATAAAGAAAATAATAAAAGTGACATGACTATAAAACTCCTCCTATTTATACACACCGTGGCCACCTCTAAAGAGGTCTCTGAAGCTGGGGGGCCTGGGCGGGGTGCTTAACCCCAAAGGAATCTGGTCTGGATTCCAAATATAATTGCACAAAGGAGAGATTGGGGGCACACCCGTATACATGAAAGGTGCTGCCGCAGTGACCAAAATTCATACAGAAAAACTAGTTACGGCGTACTCAGACTTGTAAATTAATAACTAAGAAGGCTAACGCCTATCTAAGAATAAATATGGGGATTTAGTTCCACCATATGGCACATGGCACAAGATGCAGAGCCTCCCCCCATGCTGAGATATCTGCCTGGCCGGTCTAGGTATGCTTTTGTTGTCAAGGTGGACTTGCAGATGGGGGAAGGGAAATGTAGTTTGTATATCCTGATGTGAAGTGAAAATCAAGGAAGTTGCTGTTTGTACGAAGAAAGAAGCTGGTTGTCTTTCCTTGCTGCAGCTATCCAAGATCTGCTTTAAGGTGAATGCTGTTGGATAAAGAGACTCCAAGCCCAGATCATAGGACTTAGTATAGTTATCAGCTGTGCAAGTTAATGGAAGTATCCACGGACGCGAGGATCGGGATCACCAGGTGAATGTGACCGCAGCCATGGTCTCCCCATGTAGCCAGATAGAGGGTTCCCTGTCTCAAAGTAACAGTGCACAGCTTTTCTATGTTTGATGATATGAAGGATGATATAGATGGGTTCCTGACGGACTTTTAAGTGGCAATGTGAGCCCAATCGCTTGCTGCCAGATGACTGGGTGCGGGTACTGACGGGACGAGCCCTGGAGGCCTGCAGAGTGATTCCAAGAGAGAAATGGGGGGACTACCAGGTTGTGAAGCGAGCTGTGCTGGACAGGTACTGTCACACCAGAGTCCTACAGGGTAAGGTTTCAGGAGATCCAGCCGACTCCACAAGGCATCTACCCAGAGTGTGTCTGGACGTTGGCACATGCCCTTGAGGGATTGTGGACTGGGAGTGAGGTGCACTCCCAGGAGGGCTGTTAGCAGATTGTGCTGTTGGAGCAATTTTACCACCTTTAGCCGGCAGAGGTGCGACAGTGGATCCAGGAACAGAAGCCCACTATAGCTGCTGCAGCCGCGAAGTTAGCCCAGCACTTCTGTGGGACTTGTGGAGGAGTCCCCAGCATTGCTCTTCTGGGACAGAATTCTACAGCACCTGTGTTTGGGCCGATGCCGCAGACAGTGGTAGCTGTCCATGCTCAAACTGTGGGATCCAAGACTGTTTCACAGTCAGACCGGCTATGTAGCCCAGTGGTGTTCGCGGTCAGAGGCCAATGCCAGGGTCAACGTCCCAGAATGGGAGCAACGGGGTTACTGGTCCCACAAACAGTCCCGGTGCAAAGCACCAGCCTGTTTGTCTTGGGTGCCAGCACCAGGAGCATTTTGTGAGAGACTGTCCCTCCTGGGCCCGTGGTCCTAATCACCTGGCTCCACCGGTCCAAATGGTGGGAAAGTGGGGACCTGAGAAATATGTTGGGATGTGTTATTGGGGAACGACCTGGGGCCCACGGAGAGCTACTTTGTCGAGGTCATAACCCGGGCTCAAGGGGCTAAAGCAAAGAACTTGCTCCTGGACCGCGTACCCCCTTCAGCCACAGCTACTACGCAGCCTCTTCACCAGCGAACAAAGAGACACAGAAAGCTCCCCACCCCAGTCGTGCCAGCAGCGCTACCACAGGGCGGCACTGGCACCCACTCTGAGGATGTACCAAGAGTGCCTGCAGCTGCCATCCGAGACAATGATTCACTGGTAGTGAACCATTCCACTCAACCCACCATACACAAAGGTGGCACTCCCACTCTGGCAAAGGATCTGGTAAGACTGAACCCCCCTGATCTGACTAAGACTGCCTGGACTGACCCTGCTGTCCTGAGACAGGAGACCCTAGTAGACACTAGTTTAGCTCGGTTGAGGGACAGGGCAGAGACAGGAGAGGTAGGACCACAGGGAGAGAGGATCTTTTGGGAGGGGGTACTGCTCAATATGGAGAGTAGTGTGAAGGTCCCATTGTACAGTGCTACGGAATGTGATGGCGCTATATAAATAATAAAATAATAATAATAATAATAGTGATCACAATATATTGTCCTTTGAAATAAACTCAAAAAAACAAAAGCACATGGTGTATACTAAAACATATATCATTTTAAAAAGGCCAATTTCTATAAGTTAAGGGCAGCTTTACAATATATTGACTGGCATAAACTCTTTAGTGAAAAGAACACTGAGGATAAATGGAACATCTTCAAACAAATATTAGAAAGGTACATTTCTTTATTACCATTGAGTAATAAATATAAAAGAAATTAAAACCAATGTGGTTTAGTAGAGAAGTAAAATAAGAGATCAAAAATAAGAAAAGGGCATTTAAAGCATTTAAATCAGACAAATCAGATGCATCTTATAAAAGATATAAGAAAGCCAATAATGTGTGCAAAAAGGCGATTAGATTTGCTCAACTTCAAAATGAAAAAATGATAGCTAAACCAACCTCAAAGCATTTTTTAAGTACATACATTCTAAAAAAAAAAGCAAAAAATTAAAGTGTAGGTACACTAAAAACAGAAATGGGGGTGTTAGTCAATGAAGACCAGGAAAGGGCAGGAATTTTAAATAACAATTTCTCCTCCGTATATATTAATGAAGAACCCATGGCAATACATATGCAAATGATTGCTACTAAAAACGTGCAGAATAATTGTAATTGGTTAACTCAAGACAAGGTGCTGCAGCAACTAAAGAAAGTTAATATAAACAAAGCTCCAGGGCCTGACGGTATCCACCCACAAGTACTTAAGGAACTAAGTGTAGAAATAAGTGAACCTCTGTTTTTTTTTTTTGTTTTTTTTTAAACATTCTTTATTTTTCAGAAGCATTTTGCAACCGTGGTATATACATTTGTCTTATGATATAACATGTTTGACATCGTTATGTGACTAGACATTTTGTCTAGCCGGTTTCCAGCTTTACTGTTGCATTGGTTGTGTATTGATAGGTCGCACAATGGTAAATCCATAATATACAACGAAACTTAAATACCAACGAAAAAAACATACAAAAATATACAATCAAGTATAAACATAGTCAACCTTTGGTCTCAGTGGTTAGGTGTTATGCTCACGGGAAGTTTTAGGGTTTCTGTGCTGGGGTTTTGGGTGTCTGCTGGGGTCTGTTGTGGGTTGGCCCCCCTAAGTTGCGGGTGTGGGCCCCTGTAGGGTCTCCCCTGTTTGTTTTGCTTTTGGGATTCCCCCCCTGGTCTCCCCACTCTGTTATGCTTCCGTTGGCCATTTATAGGGGCTGCGGCGTAGCGAGGTTCAGCGACATCAGCGCCGGCTCGCTCAGCCACGGGTCCCCAATTTTGTAAAAGTGGCGTGACATTTCATGAACTAGGGCTGACAGTCTGTCCATTTCAATGGCTTCCCTGGTTTTGCGGATGATTGTGGATAGAGTGGGGACCTCCGGGGTGCCCCAGAATTCTGCTATCGCCCTCCTGGTTGCCAGAGCTGTTCTGTTTGTTTTGGGCTCTGGTTAAAGGTTCCCAGGGTTTGGATAGGAGCCATATCCATGGGTCTAAGGGTATATCTGTGTGCCGTAAGTTGGAGACCAGGCGGGCCACCTCTGCCCATAGCGGTGCTAGTTTTGGGCACTGCCACCATTGGTGTATGTATGTTCCCCTTTGCCCACACCGTTTCCAGCAGAGGTTCGAGTCGGTTTTACCCATTCGGTATTGTCTTGCGGGGGTTAGATACCATCTTAGTAAAGTTTTGTAGGCCTGCTCTTTGTGGTTGACACAGATAGAGATAGATGCTGTGGCCTCCCATATGTCCTGCCAATCAGTCGGGTCCCCCGGTGGCCCCAGGTCCCTCTCACAAGCCGCCACATATGTCATCGCTCCTGGGGGGTGAGTAGAGATGAGCAGGCTATAGTTGTCAGTGATCTGGCCCTTACGGGCTGGGTTGTGTATGCATGCTCGTTCAAATGTTGTGCATCTGGTGGTGGCTGCTGTCCTATTATCAGGGAGTTCCAGAAAGCTCTTTAGTTGTATGTATCTGAAAAAGTAATGTGTGTTGTATGGTGAGTGTTGTTGGGGAAGGTCTTTGTATTGCATTAGTTTTCCTCCCTCGAAGAAGTGGCATATTCTATAAAGGTCGTTGTGTTCATAGTGTGCGAAATCTTTTGGGTTCATTCCTGGGCTAAATGCTTTATTGCGCAGTATGGGTGTCAGTGGTGATGGGTTGTTGATGATAGGGAATTTTCGGGTAAGCTTGTCCCAGGTGCTGATAGAATTAGCTAATGTCGGGGGTATGGGCGGTGGTGTGGGCCGGGAGTTTCGTGGGACCCATAGGTACAATGAGGGGAGGTCGAAGCCAAATATGTTGTGTTCTAAGTCCACCCAGCGTTTCGTCCCCGCTGGGGTGTGTAGATGTTGTATCTGTGTGGCTTGCATCGCGTGGTAATAGTGTTGTAAGTGGGGTAGGCCCAGGCCTCCTGTCCTGTTGGGGATGTACATGGTCGCCCTTTTCACTCTCGGTCGTTTATGCGACCAGATGAATTTGTCGATGTGCGACTGTAAGTATTTGAAGTCCGAGTTGGGTATGGGGATGGGGAGGGTTTGAAAAAGATAGAGCAGTCTTGGTAGAAGATTCATCTTTACCGAGGCTAGGCGTCCCAGCCATGACAAAGACAAGTCCCTCCATCTCTGCAGGTCTTCTGTGATTTTCTGTATCAGCGGTGAGTAGTTTAATGCGTATGTGCACTGTAGTTCCGCTGGTAGTGTGATCCCTAGGTACGAGATGTGTGAGGCCTTATAATTGAAAGCATATGTGTTCCTTAGTGTCTGTCTATGATTGTCTGGTATTGTCAGCATGAGTGCTTCAGTTTTGTCGAAATTTAATTTGTACCCTGATACCTCTGAGTAGTCGTCTATGAGTTTGAGGAGAGGTGGGAGTGCGTTCTGCGGATCTGTGAGTGACAGCATCAGGTCATCGGCGTATGCCGCCGCTTTGTATGTTTGTGTGCGGATTTTGATGCCTGTGATCTGGGGAGTGGTGCGGATAAGATGCAGTAGTGGTTCAAGTGAGAGGGCAAACAGGATGGGGGATAGGGGGCAGCCCTGCCTCGTGCCATTGTAGATGGAGAACGAGGGGGGGTTCGTGTTTGGTATGAGTAGGTTAGCAGTAGGATTAGAGTAGATCATTCGCAGGGTGCCTTGGAATGGTTTAGGGAATCTGAGTTTCTCCAGAGTTGCAAAGAGAAATGGCCAGAGTAACCTATCAAACGCCTTTTCGGCGTCCAGGGATAGCTCTGTTTTTAATCTTTCAAGATTCTTTTCTTTCAGAAAGTGTTCCGGAAGGATATTATGGCACTAGAAAAAGTGCAGAGGCGGACTACAAAATTAATAAAAGGAATGGAACATTTCAGCTATGAAGAACGGTTAACAAATTTAAACCTATTTAGCTTAGAAAAACATCACCTGAAAGGGGATATGATAACATTATACAAATATATTCGGGGCCAATACAAACCATTGTGTGGAAATCTATTCACAAACCAGACTTTACATAGGACATGAGACCATGCATTTAGACTGGAAGAAAGAAGATTTCGTCTAAGGCAAAGGAAAGGTTTTTTTTTTACTGTAAGAACAATCAAAATGTGGAATTCTATGACTGAAGAAGTGGTTTTATCAGAGTCCATACAGATGTTCAAACGGTAACTAGATGCATACTTGCAAGAACAGAATATTCAAGGATATAATCTTTCAATGTAGGGTAATAACTGCTTGATCCAAGGATAAATCTGACTGCCATTCTGGGGTCAAGAAGGAATTTTTTTTTTCTTAGCTTGTTGCAAAATTGGAAGTGCTTCAAACTGGAGTTTTTTTGCCCTATTTTTGATCAACAGCAAAAAAACAATTATGAGGAAGGCCGAACTTGATGGACGCAAGTCTCTTTTCAGCTATGTAACTATGTAATAATAATGAGGAGGCGAGGCAGGAATGGAAAGTGATCCGTCAACTTGTTGTCCCTTCTTACTGCTGAACCCAGCTGATGACCCTGGCCCATGAGGTCCCTCTGGCGGGCCACTTGGGAATCAGTAAAACCAAGGCCAGGCTGACTAAGGCTTTCTACTGGCCATTAATCTCACAGATGATTACTCAGTAGATAATTAATCACATTTTTATGTGCAGATGAATATGTGACAGGGGGGTTCATAAATCCAGTGGGTGCCCTCTCTCTTCAGTCTGCAGCTCTGCCGGGAGACATGCTGGAGATCGCTAGACATCTCAGTCTGCAGCTCACTCCTGGCGGAACTGCAGACTGAGGCTGGCTGTCCGTCAGGGCAGACCGACAGGAGGGGCTTCGCACCTGATGGCATTGTGGGCAACACCCTGTGCGCATGCTTATGGCCAGCATGATGTTTTCTCATAGAATGTCTTGACACTTTAATGAATCTATCTTGCCTTCCACACGCTGCAGTGCCAGAGTATGCAAAGCAGCTCCAGAGCATCCCTGAGCCACCACCATGCTTAACTGTAGCAGATTTTTCTTTTCAGCTTATTCTTCATTCTTCCTCCTCCAGTTCTGCTTCATTACTCCAGAGAACAGAATCCCAAAACTTCTGTGGCTTATTTATATGATTTTGAGCATATTGGAGCAGACTTTTCTTGTGTTTTTGGATCAGAAGTGTTTTATGCTTTGGAGTTCTGGCACAGAAAATCTTGCCTGTTGCCACCAAGTCTTGCTGCAGGTCTTCTACAGTCGCTCAAGGGTTTTTCACAACATGCCTACTCACAAATCTGGTTTCAGCCATTAATAGCTTTCTTTTTCTGCCCCATCTAGTTAGTGTAACCACTGTTCCCTCAACTTTGAACTTGTGAACTATGCTTCCAATGGTGTCTCTGGGAACATTCAGTGCCTTCGCTATCTTTTTGTATCCTGCTCCTTATTTGTGAAGGGCGATGATCTTTTCTCCTAACTTTGTAAATCATTCTTTTGACTTAGCCATATTTCTAACATGCAGTCAAATGTGAACAAGCCCCTAGCTAGTTCAGGTATTTCAAGTGTTCCAGACCAAGCATACCTGGTGCAAATAATGATCTTGATTAGTTGCATCAGGTGTGCTTGAGACAGCACCTGTTTTGCATATGTGTGCTGTTGTGAGGGATTCTATTCAAGGAGTTGAAGCATTTTGAGACTGGAGAAGTCATAAGTTGCATTTTCAGTTGAATTTGGGGAAAGCCAAATTTGCATTAAGTCATTAAGTTAGAAACAGCAGAAACTCAGCCATGAAGTGGAAGACCAGTAAAGTCACAGAGTGGGGTCACCAAGTGCTGAGACACATGGCATGTAAACAACTAGAGTTTTAAACTTTCACTGGCATTAATATCAGCACTAAAACTGTGAGGGGGAGCTTCTTGGAATGTCTTTCCATGGCCAAGCAGCTGCATGCAAGCCTTGCATTACAGAATACAATACCAAGCACATTGCCACTGTACTCTGGTGCAGTGGAGACCAGGGCCGGTGCAAGGATTTCTGCCTCCCTAGGCAAAGATCCATTTTGCCGCCCCCTCATATCACTCATTCACTGACAAACACACACACTCACTGACAAACATGCACTCACTCACTGACACACACACACGCAGACACACACTCACTGACAGACACACTCACTCATTGAGAGACACACACTCACTGACAAACATGCACTCACTCACTGATACACACACGCAGACACACACTCACTGACAGACACACTCACTCATTGAGAGACACACACTCACTGACAGACAGACACTCACTGACAGACACACACACACACAGACACTGACAGACAGACATACACTCACTTACTGACAGACACACACACAGACATTCACTGACATACATACTCACTGACAAACACAGACACAAACACTCACCTCCCTGGAGTCCAGTGTGGGGCAGCTCCTCACTCCTCCAGCGCGCTGTTTAGTATGTAAAATGTATTTATTAGGACAAGTGAGACACCGCAACGTTTCAACCCATGACAGGGCGCTTGTCTAGCTTGACAAAGACCCTTTCAGGGGTCGAAATGTTGAGGTGTCTCACTTGTACCAATAAATACATCTGAAGACACTTTGAGTGCCTGTATCCTCTTTCTATCACTAAAATAGTAAAACAAGTCAAGAGGAACCATGAAAAACGAATGAATAGCAATCCATAAATCGGATGAGGAGTCGTTCTGTGAAACTGTCGAAGAGGGTCTTGCCAAGGAAGGAAACTGATCACACTGAAAGGAAACGAAAGAAGTTAAAGGCATCTGAAATGGTATGTTGTCCATCTTACAATAACATTGTAATAAATTAAATCAGGCTACATAATGCTAGCAATTGAATGCCATAAAATTAATGATAAAATTAATGATTAATAACAACCATACATATGCTATTGCTATGAAACATCCCAAACCTAAATTCTAACAGTGAAAATTACAAGCCAAGGAATAGAAAGCCAAGGGTGGGAAGAAAAAACAAAGTGGGAAAATATTTGCCTGCTGTTATTACAAAATAAAGATTATAGGTACACTACATTAACATAATTGCATGATTTTGATATTATGATGAAAAAAAGTCATGATTTTATTAAAGACACGGAGGCGAGTATTGCATATCCCTTTCTTTACTGTACACCAATAGCAGCAAAGGATATAAACAGAATGAAAAAACAATGTCATACAGTGACATAGGCCCCTCCCTGCACAGGTCCCAGTATAATAGGAAGCACTTCCCTTCCATTTCCCTCTTTCTGAAGATGCGACACTATACACAGAGTCCAAAAAAGGAACAGCAATATAGTCCAGAGATAAACAAAAACGTAGAAACTTCAACCCCAGAGGAGGATCATAACATCAATTAACATGGAGGCACAACCTGATGACTGCCGACCAAACTGTATTCACAGGGAGAGGTCTTCACATCCCGAAACCAGACATTCCACCGGAGCGGATTGGGCTGTGAAAACATAAAGAACAGGAGCCCAAGGGTGAAATCGGTACTTGAGACTGACATTAAGGCCAGACAGAGCAAGGCCCAACCAATATCTGCAGAGAAATAACCAGATAGACCCAAACTGACATAGTTACATAGTCAAATCCCTTCAAACACAGATCCCACTTACCGTACCAATCAAAGCGATACGTGTCACCTATATATTGAAATAAACTGGGGGGGAAAAAACAAACAAGTCATAACCTGAGCAGTATAAAATGGGTGGGACAATACTCACCTCCATGTCTTTAATAAAATCATGACTTTTCATCATGTAATAGCAAAATCATGCAATTTTATGACAAGACACGGAGGCTCATATTGCAAGTTTAAAGCTGATCGACCACTACTGCCGCGAACGTATGAGGAACCGGTCTGAAGTAGAATACCGGAAAAAAGATTATCTCGGCCATCTTCATGAGGTCCTCCAGGCACGCGCCTGAAGCCATCATTGAAGATGCTGAGGCCCCCCCTGATCGAATGGGCGCTGAAAATCGCAGTGTCAATACCGGCTTGAGAGAGTAGCCATTTAACCCATCGAGACAAAGTGTGCTAGTTACGGTTTGAAACGGCGGACGGGTAGATAGAAATAGATGGGGGGAGGATGTAGCTTGGTGCGATCCTCATATGTGCGTAGGCAAGCCACCAGACATAGCGCCGGTGTAGTGGGGAAACTCAGATAAGATACTGACCTAATAGACGTTTTTGTGCGTCTGCTGATATTGAATGTCACTCCTTCTGGGGTATATGATCTGGCATTAAAGTCCAGTGCTCGGACATCCGAGACCCTTTTTGACTTGGCTGATAGTTGTCTTAGAGAGAGCGTGGGCCAAGAAGCGAGGAAGGATAACACCACCGATACATCCCAGGTCGCGGTGTAGCGCGGTCTGGGCGGCCGAGAAAGGCGAGAACCTTTGAGGAGCCGGCACACCAGGGGGTGCTGGCCCGCCAGGCAGCCATCGAACCCCTGATGTGTCGAGGAGATGGCCGACCGATATAGGTTGATGGTCCTGTATGCCTTACATGCTTCAAAGAGAGAAGTCAGGAACTGTAGGACCGCAGTTACAGGGGCTGAAACGGGATCCATGTCCCGAGCCAAGCACCAACCAGTCCAAGCTCGCCAAGCTGACCCATATGCCCGTCTAGTGCCGGCAGCCCATGCCGCTGCCAGTAGGCGTCTAGTAGTGTCCGAAACTCCCTGGACCTACCAGGGTCCCCTGAAATACGCCACGCCAGGAGCGGGAGGGAGCCCTCTAACCGGAGAGGGTGGCAACACCCTATCGGATCCAGAAAAAGTTCCTGGGAGGGTGGCAACAGTCTGGGATAAACCACTGTCATCCCGAGAAGTTGAGGGAACCATGATTGTGTTTCCCAGAATGGGGTCACTAGGACCAGTTCGGCCTGATATCTGCAAGAGTGTAGAAGGGTGCGAGGGATCATGGAGAATGGGGGGAAAGCATATAGGAGGTCTCCGCTCCAAACCTGCAGGAAGGCGTCCACTGCCTCCGCCGCCGGATCTGGCCTCCAGTTGAAGAATCGTGGGAGCTGGGTGTTGAGCCAGGAGGCGAATAGGTCTATAGCAAAAGGTCCCCAAAGAGACAATATACTGGAGAACACGTTCGTGTCCAATTTCGAGTCGTTGGCATGTGATAGATATCGTGAGCCCCAGTCCGCCTGGACGTTGTGTAGTCCTGGCAGGTATTCCGCTTGAACCACCAGGTTCCAGTCTAAGCAAAAGTCCCAAAAGTCTTTCGCCAATCTGGCCAGGACCACAGGTTGAGTACCGCCCAAGTGGTTGACATACCTCACCGCTGATACATTGTCCATGCGGAGGCGGATGCATGTATGGGCTCGGTCCCTCGCGAAGCTGCGGATCGCGAAGGACCCTGCCAAGAATTCCAATGCGTTGATGTGGAGTCGGGATTCGGATTCCGACCAGCGACCCCCTGTCGCCACACCCTCGCAATGAGCCCCCCAGCCATGGAGGCTTGCATCTGAGTCGATGGTGAACTCCGGCATGGAGCCGAAGATTGCCCTGCCGTTCCAAGCAGATAGGTTGAGGATCCACCATCGCAATTCGTCCTTTGTCTCGTCTAGCGATACCGGGTCCGCATAGGATGCGCTGGCCCTTAGGTGAGCTATTTTTAAGCGTTGCTTTGCACGGTAATGGAGCGGACCCAGGAACACTGCCTGAATGGAGGATGCTAGGAGGCCGATGAGGCGTGCCAGTTGCCTCAAGGTGAGTCGCGGCCGTATGAGAGCCCTGTGGAGCTCCTTGCGTATTGAACGAGTCTTGGACCTTGGAAGGCTCAAAGTGGCCACCTCCGTATCCACTAGGAATCCCAAGAATTCCATACGAGTGGCACGACTTTTCCTGGTTGATAATGAAACCCAGGCAAGAGAGTAGGTTCATTGCCAGCTGCAGGCGTGCCAGAAGTATGGAGTGATCCTGGGCCATGAGCAGGATGTCGTCTAGGTATATGATGAGACGAATGCCTCGACTGCGTAGCCAGGCCATAGCTGGGCTCTGTAGTTTTGTGAAGCACCATGGTGCTGA